AGTGTCTCCTTTGCCACACTGTTTCTCAAACTGCTGTTCACAGTGATGATAGTCGTATTGCTGTATCTGACAAATGTGTAAAGCCATCAGTTCACCTCTAACTTGGTTTGATCCATAGACAAACAAGTGCCTTACCCATGAGACCAGAGGCACAGATCTGTGTGTTAGACTACAGGATGAGATGGTACAAGACGCTCTATAACCTTTAACTCCACAGCTGTAAGTACCTGATATGTACCAAATTATGGTATCCATTGGCACCTAGATTATTTTTACCTGTCCGGTACAAAGTGGTAGCCCACAGTAATAAATCCAGGTCCCTCAGTGGAGCTTTACAGAAAGTAAAGTGTTAATAAATGTAGAGTTGTTTACCGCACAGTTTATGTTTTAGATGCTAGAGGGTTGTACAATTAATGGTTACCTCATGTTGCATTCATGGAGCTCTTTCTCACCAGGCAAGAGTTTAATTCAGTTAATTTGCTGATGTCGAATTAAACTGAGGAAATCAGTTCTGAACTCATAATGCAGAGGTGTGTGTGTAAATGCATTAATGCGTCACTAGATGTGAGTCTGTGAGTGAGTGAATGGGATAAAAGAGAAGGGAGAAGGTTGTGACTTTGTTTTGCCAGAGGCTTGCTCACTGTTTCAACAAACGGAACAAAAACATTTCTGAGTTTGTTGTTCCTTTGCACTGCTTTTTTTTATTGAGTGAGTACTGGTACACAGCAAGCTAGCTCCCAAAATAACATTAGAGTAATGTTACAGACCTCATCATTCCCTACAGAGCAGAGTGACGAGTCACGCTGCATGGCTTGAAATCATAATACAAACACCTAGTGTGACTGAGGATTTATGGCAGTCAAACCATATAATATATAAAGTGAAGACAAAACAAACATTTAACATCCAAACTTTCTTTACCTTACATGAGCTCATCCTTGAGGTTTGCCAACATTTTAAAACTCATTTGTGCTCTTTGAAATGTGAAAGACCAAAGTTCTTTGGCTGTCTCGACAAATTGGAAACACCACTGAAGCTGTACAAAATATGTGAACCATAATGTCAATCATGTACGTGTTTAAATGCTGTCACATCTTTTTGCACCTTTTTGGGAGAAACGAAAGAGACTCAGTGGAGTCCCCCGGCTTGTAGCTGTTAAGCTTTTCTCCTCATATCATCAGTGAGTTTCAAAGCTTTTGTCATACTGACGTGACAACAATCACGGTAGGTTATTTCACAGTTTTGTAACCATTTTCTTTTTATATTTAAGTATGCAGTAACTTTTGTACTGTACATTGCTGTAGTTTGAATGCATATTGCACTTTTTATGTTGGTCACAATAATGTACTGTATGTGCTCATTATGGAAATAAACATTTCTTTTACATATACCATGGATCGTGTTTTTTTTTTTTCTTTCTTGTGAAAACAACTCATTCAAAACTAATAGAAGTGATTTTTTGAAATAATTTGCTAATTGAGTTACAGGCAAGTAGAGTTGGGATACCCTGCTATTGTAATATTTATCATAAAAACAAAAGTGGGATTATATACTGTACTGAATGTTATGGATGCTGTTTTTAAGACCTTCCTGAATGGAGCTTAACTAAATATCTGTGCAGTGACTCCACAGTGATGGTGGTGTCTGTGTGTCCTTACATTACATCATTGTGCCCCCATCTGTATGCTTTGGCAGGAGAGCTGTTTTCTAACAGCCAGGTTATATAACATTTGGCTTCCCGTCACTGTTTGGATGACATCAGTGAAATACTTAAGTTACACGCTCGTGTTCCTCCTATACGACTGTGCGTGTCTGCATTAATGAATGGTAGGCCCTGTGTAGAGTACAGCATGTGATGGGGCATTGAGGTGACAAAGATGTTGTTTAGTGTTGTTATGTGTGTGATTTGACACTAGCATAAAACTTCTGTTTTTCTTTCGTGGATGTACATGAAACCTGGGGACTGGTATTTCAAGAAATTTGAAATGGAAATCTAACTACAGTGAACTTGTAAACATTTAAATGATGGAGGGACTGAACAAGAAGCTTTGTAAAACTCACCGTTAGTGTGCCAAGACGCCTGTGGAGTCTTGAATTAATGACAATCTTAAATTAGAGACAGATTGGCTTTTGTCTAGACGAGATTGAGAGTGACCTGGAACCCTTTTCAAACACAGTAACATGAGGGCCGCTAGCTGCCTGTCTGTCATCACTGCAGCCTTCGGTCTACAGTCTCTGGGTGTGGGCCGACCCCTCTTCCCCTTCTTCTGCCGGTGAATTCTTGGCTGCTGTACCTCCACTTTTGTTTTATTATCTGAGGAGGTATCCTGTTTTGGACGTTACTATAGAGACCAAACAAAACAAAAGAAAAAGGTCTGAGCTATTTTTCAGATGATTTCCCACACTCCTGGCTTCATTTCCTCACAATTTATCCCAGACTTAAGCACCATCTCCTACTTATCTTAACTAGGTTCCTGGAATGAAGTAGTATCAGGGCAGCCCTTGACACCGGTATGCAAACATACAGTGTTGGGTAAGGGAAACAGAGCAAATTAGGACATTCCTTATACTCGCACTTAGTGTCAGGATCTGTCTGTCTTCCAGTTGGATACTGGGTGAAAAGGTTACCAATTATGTATCTAAAATCTCAATTCTGGATCAAAACACACTCCGTTAATCTGAATCCATACAAGCAAACAAAGAGATGGAGAGTGAGATATTAAACTTCTCCAAGGTTTCTTAAGGCAGCAAAAAGTAAAGCTACAAGTTTCCCCCTGATTGTGTTAGTCAAATATGCTGTGACATCACATGGATGTAATATAAGGCTCCCATTGCTTGTGTATTTGAGGGAGGACTGACCATCACCAAACAACCAACAAAGAGCACTCTGTCGGTCCTAAGGGAGAGCGTTCTACTCTGCTACGACGTCCAACTGGTAAGTGTCAGCCGCAACATATGATAAGGTATCAATATTATATGCATTCACATAGTAACAGTAGTCAGCTGTCACGAGCCTGGCCCTTTTCCCAGCTTGTTGGGTTGTACTTACAAGAGCTCAGAGCTGATAAATTGTTTATTTTCCAGATGCTGAAACTTGCGAGAGGTTCCTGGTTCATTAATTTAGAATTCTTGTATGTCTGTTGAGGCAACAGAGCACATGGTGATCAAGTGATCAGCTTGGGGCGTTCAGGGAGGGTGAGGCAGGATAATAGAGCCGTTGTTAACAGGGATAGACTGCCTCAGGGGAAGGGGTTCCCCACACCGACTGATAAGGTAGGTGGAGGATAATCAACAAATGCAAATTCCACTAAGCTCCAGTGGATTTAACCTGATGAGTCCACATGATCTGAAGGATGAGAAAAGACAGTTCTGCAACTTGTATTGATGTCCTCAAATGTATGTGTTATTTTGTCTATCTTCTCACACAGCTGTGCCAACATTGTAGGGTGATAACATTAGCTCCCTTAGCCATGCGCCCGGCCAATGTGCAGGCCTGTCAGATGATAAGACAACAGCAGTCATATGTTGTTACACAGACGGGGGATGAGGCCACAGACAGGAAACAGACTCATGGTCCAGATCATTGTTCATTGTGCCTCACAGTTTTTCTCTGCTTACCGCTTATTAAATAATTATAATAATTAGACAATTTCACTGAAAAGTTGGTCTCTGCAACACGATGATTTATGTTTTGCCTTATGTTCTGCTGTCTTGTTAACAACTACTGCTATCATTCCACCTCCTCCTACTGCTACTACAAATACTCCCATACTTTTTGATTAAAAAAGACATTTTGACATTAATCATCATCAGCACTGTAACCATCGACATTTATGAGAGCAATAACTGCAGTCAACAGCACAGGATTATGTTCCACATAGGAGCATAATTAAATACAAAACATACCCAAAGTCAGCAAAAAACAAGTGTGACAAGAAAAGCTGTCTTTTAAAACGCAAAGAGTGGAATTTGCATGACACAACAGTGTATGAGAAAAGTAATGCCACAGTGAATCACCTACCAGCCTAAAACAGGGGATTCAAAATCACAAGTGAGATTGCTAGCAAAATCTTGTGACTTAATTTGCCTTAAAGTTGAGCTACTGTGGACCTCGCAAGTGCATGAATAACCTAACAGAGGGCATACTATGGCAGTTAAAGTCATAAGATACTCCAATTCAATTCACCCCTTACATGAAAACAGCTCCTGTGTGACCATGAGTTGTTTGCTACATGCTACATGGTCTCTTCCCATGACTGACATAATTTATAATGTGTAGACAGTGATGTCAATCCCAGGTGTCTGCTCCTCTTCTGTTTCAGCAGCTTCCAGCATTAAGTGTATTATACAAACAAAAAATATGAGTGGAGATTGTCAGAATAAAAGATGCTGTGGTAGAGATAAATCATGAAAGAAATTACTTCTGGGCTGGCATTCCTAACATGTGGCATGATTTTGGAGGATTGGGTTTTTGTTGTGAGGTTAACACCATGTATTTCTCTACAGACCAGTATGGGACAGAACCAGGATAAACTGGAAGGGCAGGTCGGAGGTGAGGGGTCGGACGAGACGAGGCTGAGCCCTGACTCTGGAGCTGCAAGCAATCTAACATGTGATGTCATGGAGGGAGGAAGCTCCTGTGAGGAGGAGGCTGGTAACACAGGGGAAAATCCAGGGGATCTGGACTGGAGCCTCAGCCAGGAGCCAACAACACCTTCTAGCGAGAAGCACATACATTTGTGGGTGAGTCCTCTCACTGCAAGGGAGGTGAGACAGGGAGGGGCTCCAGGAAAGGAGGGAGGAGAAGGAGAAGGAGGCAGGACTGCTCCGCTTGTTCCACAGGAGACAGGCGAGAACCAAAAGAGCAGTGCGAGGATTGAGGAAAGACCCAGAGCATACAAGCTCTTCAATCAAATCACAAGAGAGGAGAAGAAGACTGAGGAGGAGCTTCACACATCCTCCAGGAGCAAGATGGAGTATCAGAATGAGGGAACTGGCCTGCACGAGGAGATACAAGATGAAAACCTCTCAGCTGGAGTTTCACATGAAAGGTATGGCCTTTCTGTTACTTCTGGGGATGCAAACTCACTTGAAAACACTGAAGAGGACTCTGTGATGGTGAAGATCAATAGATGTGGAGCTCGTGCAGAGAGGGAGTTGTTACTCTCTGTTCAACAAGATCAGAATGACACCATATTGGCTAAAGTTGCGGATGAAGATATTCAACTCTGTGGAGGAACAGCGGACTGCTTGAGTGAGAGGAAGAGACCGCCTACAGCTAAACGCCAACATCCTTTGAAAAACAGTCTGCAGAAAGAGTCTCTTTCAGACATGAGTGATACCATTCACTGTAGACCTCCAAAGGAGAGAACAGAGAATAATACAAAAGAGGAAACGCTAACATGTGAGGTGAAGCCAATTTTGAATGACTATTTTTCAAATAAACCAAAGGTCAGTGATACTGATGATCAAAGGGAGTCAGTGAGGTCTTATCTACAAACAGACACAACAGAAACGTCCACAAATCAAAAGACTGACTCGAATTCAGCATCAAATCCGACCTCACCCACTGAACCCAGTTCTATTTTGGAGAAGCTACTGAAGAGAAACAGGAAGGACACAACACCAGCTCTTTCAGCGATTAAAGATGTTGACACAAATGACAAGGACATCGCTGATGTTTCTGTTGGGGTGAATGCAAAGATGATCCTTGACAGTGTAGCAACAGAGCTATTCACTGATAAATTTGAGCAGTCAGATGTAAATACACCTTTGTCAGTATGTGAAACGGAGGGGTTGAAAGATAAACCACCTAAAGAACACCTTCAAACCAAAGATCATCACATTAAGGACCTGGACGTGAAACAGACAAACACTGCTGACAGTATGGCCCCAGATGTACTTTGTTTTCAGCACGGAGTGATTGGGAATACTGTGTGTGAGAGCTCACTCACAAAGTCACATTATTCCAAAGCTGCTGATTGTAAGGGCTCAGAGATGAACATCAGCTCCACAGATGCTTCAGTCAAGGAGAGTATGGGTATAAAGCCAGATAGACTCCCCTCTAAAAACCTGCCCTCAGACAACTTACAATCAGCTGTTTCACATGATACAATGTTATGTGACCTTAATGTAGTGATTGCTGAGGGATCTGCACATTACTCAGTGCCTGATGCAAAGTCTCCACCCACAAAACATGGGGTGGTGGACCATTTGCTTACTGTTGAGAAGACAGACATCAGTGCTGTAGGGCCATTAATAAAGAGTGACAGTGAGAGCAAAGCTGAGACGCAGTTATCTGGCTCTGCATGCTCAGATGCTCAGTCTGTGAGGAGGAAGAAGGTGAAGGACTCAACTGAGGGCACTGCTTCACCAGCTGCGGATGCTGGATCAGTTTTGGTTGTAGCCGGCACAGCTATCTCAGAGGAAAGCCACCAGGTCACAGAAGGCATGAAGCAGGATCTTCATATGGCACTTAACACAGAGACGCCAGACCAGTCGGATAAAAAACTTGCCAAAGAGAGAGATGACAGTGTCCCAGTAAGAGATAAATCCCAAAGCGCTCCCAAACCTAGACCTGTCTCAGAACTCATAAAGGAGACCATTCAACTGCATGAAAAGCTGCAGCACCAGGATTGGCCTAAGCCAGCTGAGGTCAGGTCTGATGAGCAGGGCCAGTCTGTGAAGGTGGCACAGATGAAGGCAGCTTTCGACTCAGCTCAGAAATCCCCAGACAAGGCACTTGAGAGGAAGCCATCAGTGAGAAAAGGTAAGGGTAAAGGGTAAAGTCCAGCTTACTGCAATATATATATATATACACTATAGTATCAAACGAGTAGAAACTGGATAGTACAGAACACACTGGGTGGGGATAACAGGTAAATGAATTAGTGAGTCATTATTGAAAAGACAGTTGACCAATGACGTCTGCTTTCCTGGTTCATGAACCATGAGAATTTGGGCTGCCAGATTCACCACAATCACTTGCATCAACCCTCATCTACAAGAGTAAAGGAGGGTGAAGAAAAACTGGATGATGGAATACAGCTGTTTTCGTCTGTCAAAAGTCTGTACCACTCTGGATTTACGAAATAACGCCATCTTGTGGTGCTGTAATACACTTGTAGTACATTGTGTTCTTCTGGAAAATTTAAATATATTTTTAAAATTACAAAATGATATGTAGAACAGTAATACTGTATAAGCATGGTTTCACTGCCCATCACAAACTATATTTTTAGGGTTAGGGTTTTTATTCATGGACATCAGAAGAAGCCTGCATAAAACATTTAAGTGAATCAACTACTTTCTCACATAGAACCAGACATATGTTTGTATTGTTGTATTTAGTATCCATACATTTACCCCCACTCACTCACAATTGCACACACAAACACACACAACACTCTACCTAACCCCAAAATTATTGCCTCATCCTGAATTTTGTTTTTAAATATTCTCTTCCTCTTGGCTCATGAAATTGTTCCTAAATACTATTAAATAAGTCAGTAGGATAGGTACTTTTGTACCATTCCAAAAATAACTGCATAAGTCCTATTAATTGTATAATTTGTGTAAGTAAAATGATGCTTTTCTAAATTATATGATTTTAATATAACAGAGAGATTATTGATAATTGGTACATAGATGGCAAATAGATTTTATAAAGATAATACTAATATCACAATAAAACCACAGGAGATTAAAACGCCATGAAGGAATCATAAACACACAACTGATGGTGATTTTCGCCAACTGGGAACCTGAAGAAAGAAGGCGTGAGTTATATGTTCCCTGTTATCCATAAGGCGCTCTGATTGGCTACTGGAGCTGTCCGTCAAAGGCCGCTGATCCACACAGGGCTCGCCAAGCCAAATCAGGGGGCGGGACTAGCGGCAGAGTGGGGAAAGAGCACACAGAGCGGGTGGTGTCTGCACAGCAGCTCTGGCTGAGCAAGGAATCAAGTGGGATACGCGTTGTCTGTGTATATCATTCATCTTTCCGGAATACTTTTATTTTCCTCTCAGAAGGTAGGTTACAGATTATGTGAATTGTTTAGACTCTACCCCCTTTAATTGGTTTGAACTGTCTTCGTCTGTCCACCTCCAGCCATCCAGACAGGAAAGTGCATGCGCTAGCTAAAATGAATCGGGACAGTCTGTAGAATGTGAACAGTTTTTTTTTTTTTTTTTTTAGCTAGCGCTAGCCATTAACGGCGGTTAACTGACAATGCCAAAAACTTTCTAACCGATAACCAAATAAATTGCTGTTTTCAAGCAAGGCTTTTGTTCCTTCTAGTGTTGGGTGGGTTTCATGGGTAATTCACGACATTAAATGTGCTATTGTACGTTATTGAGCGGGGTGGGGTAGCTAACCATAGTGCGGCAGGAAAACTTATCTCCGAAACGATAGATCCACATACACGGAGGTGCGGGCAGATCAGCCGCGCCCTGGCCCCTGGCATCCTGACTGTTAATATATAGACAATTCAAACAGAATAATGGGCTCCAAACATAAGAGTATCTAAGATTTAACAATATAATTTGCAGAGACAGTCTCTTTTTTTCTTCTTTTTTTTTCTCTTTTCTTCAAAATGCCCCTCTTTGATTTAAATCTAATATCTGCAATATTCATCCAGAGGCCAGGTTCACATTTGACCCACTAACACACTGATAAAAAGAGTCACGGCACCGGAGCGGTCGCTGCCTCCATGCTGGCAACTATATTTGTTACCCAAATCCACAATCACTGTCTTCCACCTGCTCAATAACACGTGGAGAATCGTTAGTATAAAAGTATGCGGAATCTGTGCAGAGAGATTTCCCACCTCAACTATGTCTAATAGTGACTGTCAATGAAGGAAGATATTGAAATATTGTTTACTGACCTGAGTCCATTAAGTTTTATGGTGACAGCTGTTTATACAAAGGTTTGGTTTAAGTATGTTCAAGCCAAATTAAGATTGGGTAAATTTTACTATTAAGTGTTCAAGTGTTCAAAGGCATTACTTTGATGTACCTAAATATCTTATTAAAAGTTTCCACAACTGGACCTCATATGCTGTAATTAAATTGGGTTTGCACATTAATGAATGTTTTGAAAGGGAAGTGTAATCTTGCAGTGTGTCATAAGTAGCCACTAAAGATTATTTTCATGATTGAGCGATCTGTCCATTAATTTTTTGATTCTCATCTGTATGATCATCAGTCCAAAACCCACACATATTCAATTAACAATGATACACAACAGAGAAGCAGCAAATCCTCACATTTGAGTAGCTGGAACCAGAGAGTATTTGGCAGTTTTGGTTGACCGACATTAGTTCACTTTCTGCCCCTCAGCTAATCAATGAATTGACTAATTTGTTTCACCCAGGGTCACAAGTATTATGAAGTAGCCTCACTCTTAAAATTCGACTTGGCACTGCCTTGGAGCTGCGACTAATGTGATTTTCAAATACTAATACCATGCTGGGAAAGCAGTATATCGAAAATTTATCTAAAACTGGAGCTTGTTGGGTGATCATTAAAGGCCTGATGGCGTTCTCCTCCTCACATGGCAGTTGTAAATAGTCTCTCCAGTCCAGCCCTAGAGCCTGGGTGTTGACCCAAGTAGTCCTTTCTGTGACCCCTCTGTGCACCACCAACGGCTCATTTGCTTGCTCATGACAATAGGGCAGTTTGATTTGTAATGACCGTGGTTAGTGTGCCAAAAGGGCAGTGTGATTTGCATATTTGGCCTCCGTCTTAAACTAGGTTACTCAGCTTCCGTGTTTAATCAGCTTTTGAGTTGGAGGACTTTCCCTCGAGAATCGCTGTGGGATGCAGAGCAGGCGAAGGCTGATAGAGCGACCCCGGGGTCGACAGTCAACAGTACTACAGCTGTGTTTGGGCTTGTTAACCATTCCAGACGCATCAACCTGGTTGTGCTGCAGTACAAGGTCTTTTAGCAGTGTGTAGTCTGTCTTCCTATGGCTGAGAGAGGAAGTGGGTCAGGAAGCAGAGGGAAACTGAGCATGAGATGTGAGGGAGTGTTGGTTTCCATCCAGGCGTCCCGGTGTGGGCTGTGGTGAAGACTTGAGTGCATTTTTTTTTTTTTAACATTTTGAATTAGTTTCAGGGAAATCATTAAGATTTATATCCACTACCCAAATTATCCATTAGATTTATTTCATCCATATTGATGCAGCTGTTCCCTGCTGGCCATCATGTCATTATTGTGCTGAAATTGTTAAGAAAAAGTGGTTGAGTCTTGGCCTTTGTTTTGTGGACTAAGGAATGTGAACTTTAGATGGTAGCTTAGTAATAGTTTGCCATATCTCCTGTTGGTTAGTTCTCATATCACTCTACAGGAATAAGCAGCATCCCTGTGGAAAGAAGCTAAATACTTGGTCAACAGTTTGGCCTCTGCATCTCAGTTGGATTAAAAGATTGCATTCTTTTAACATGTCTGACATACCTCAGATTGTGTCCAGTCCTGTCTGAGCAAGATGTTATCTCAGTCCACTCTTTCAAGAGGATGTTCTGCCAGAAACCTTCAGAATGACATGCCACACCTTGAAAATTCAACAGACTTTGTTTAAGTTACAGGATTTATCTGAGCACAGGTGGGAAGAAACATCTCATTAACCAACCACCTGCTTAGCATATTAGTGTGTTTGTTTGTTTGCTTGTTTAGATCAGCCTAGTGATAAAGAGAATCAAATGTCTAAATCTGTGCCTTTTTAATTGCTTACACAGTAGAAAACAGACACACAGCCCATTGACAGTGGAGATTTTTTCTATTAAGATGCTCAAATAACAAAAGGGACAATATAATTATAGCTAAAAAAAACATGATTTATTGTTATTTTTGTGTTTTGCATCTATATTATAGGGTTTATATAAATAAGTTTGCTTGGAGTCTCAAAGATGAAGTTCAGATGCCATCTCTCCTGTTTTGACAAACCTCCTCTTTAGCAATTCCAGCAGATGCACACAGGCTAATACTATTTCTTCCATTGGTCTTTTCCACCACAGCTGACAACATCTGTTGAAATGGAGCAGTGGTTTGTGCATTGCTCACTGGGGGAGGGGGAAGTAGCTGATCAGGAAGAGGAAGGCACATGCTATGTACTTTGAGGCTTTAATATTTAGGAGTTGACTCTTTTTTTTTTTTTTTTTTTTTTCTTCTCAGAACAGGAATTGATAAAGTTGGGAAGGTGGTTTTTGCTGGAGTTCAGTTTAAGGCAACAATTGCGTAAGACTTTCTGGTAAAAAATCCTGTCATCTATAATTACCCATCATTTTAATTAAATATTTTTAATGATATAGAGACATATATAACCTATTGAATAGCGTTGAATTTTCAAAAACAACTCGATCACATTTAATATACAGAACTTACAGATTAGGGGATGGAGAGAAAAGAAAAGATGAACAGAGATGCTTTTCATGTCACCACACGAAGCAGATGAATGATTTTTTTTTACCTCCTTGCAGCCACTTGCTTCCACTGTAACATTAGCTGCCTCTGGCTGATCGTCGTAATGAGTATTACTTGCTTGTCCCTCACCCTCCACCGCATCAATCCCATTTTTTTCACCTTGTTTATCAACCACAGTCCAACTATTGGGCTTTCTAAAGAAGCTTCAGACACTCAGCTGCCTAGCATTTTATGATCGCTAGCCTGTGTAGCGGTATGTCATACCAATGCGAAAGCCAGCTAGAAAACGAGGTCATCCACCTGAGATCAAAGACAAGACTACTGAACAGGAGGGTCTGCTAAAGG